TGTCCACATCCCATGAGGGAGGAGCACTGTCCACATCCCAGGAGGGAGGAGCACTGTCCACATCCCATGAGGGAGGAGCACTGTCCACATCCCATGAGGGAGGAGCACTTTCCGCATCCCAGGAGGGAGGTGACGACAACTCACAGGGACAGACTCTAACAGCGGGACACGCAGACCTCACCCTCTGTACCTGTTCAACTACTCTGTCAGAAGTCCAGTAAGACACCTTACAATAAGCCAGCAGTGCGAGCACCTCCTCAGGGCCTGTGGGCTGCTCTGAACTGATCCCAACGAGAGGGTTGACGGGAACTCATCCGTGTCTGGTTACTACGTGTCTAGAGTTCCGAAGGCCGCGATCTGTGATCGTGTCTGCAGTGGGAGCCCACTGTGCCTCAGCCCATTGGCACCTCTGCTGTCTCCAGGCAGACAGTGTCAAAGCAGACACCCAGTGGGTGATCGCTATGTAACCGCCTACCTGATGGTGAGCACACACACTCACTCACGCACGCACGCACGCACGCACGCACGCACGCGCACAGCTCACAGGACTGATCCATGTTGTGAGGGTAAGTTAGGAGAGACTGAGTTGAATATGAGTCTCCCTTTATAGCCTCAGAATGGGTATCTCCTAATGCAAACAAGCAAAGTCGGACCGCCTTGACTCCATGACTAGACCAGGGCTGTTAGAATGGTGGGCTGTGACCTGTCAGGGAGAAACGCCCATCATTTCTTGTTGAGTACCAAAGAACAGCATCAAGCAGAAAGAAATCAGAGGCTATCATACAAAATAACAGCATGCAAACCTTGAGAGCATGTTTGTGTCTATGCCCCTCGGCTGTGGTGTAGTGAAAAGGTGTTGGTGAAGCGCTGTCAGTCTGCAACACTTCCCACGGTAACCTGGAGGAAACCTAACATTTCCTTCACCTTCATAAATGTTACCATCTAAACTACCGAGGCACAGAGTGCAGGGGAAGATAGAATTCGCTGAAATCCCATGGTCATAAACACTTTAAAATAGCACAACTACAAAATGGTAAAGTGTTGTTGAGTTTTAGGCAGTAATTTTAGACTCGGTTAAAGAAAGAAATTCTGGAGGCTGGGAGATGGCTCAGGCAACAAGCCCCTGCTGAGCGAGCACAAGGGTCTCATTTGGATCCCAGCACCCACGTTAAAGCCAAGCCCAGTGGCACTCTGCAGAGTGGGGGCGGCACGGGGCGGGGCGGGGGGGGGGGGGGGGGGGAGGGGGGAGGAGGGAGGGAGCCATCAATGAGCCCCAGGCTCTGTGAGAGATCCTATCTCAAAAAATAACTGGAGAACAGATCAATTTAGACACCTGATGCTGATCTCTGGCCTGTGCATGCATGCACACGCGTGCGCACACGCACACACGCACACATGCACACACACACACACACATACACACACACACACTCTCTCTCACAAGAACATATACATGCACCATATGCACACACATATATACATCCCCCCCACACACACACACACAACAACAACAGCCATCAAAGAAAACGAGAACAATTACTTCTTTTTTCCTGGCATTTGAAGAACACACAATATGTGATTTTCATTATGAGGGACTCGACACCACAAAGTCTAGGAGCCTGGGCTGTCTCCGCAACCTCCACCAGCCAGCCTGTCGGACTTGGTTCTCCCACTGCACACGATCGAAGAGTGAAATAAAGATTGCCTGCAGATTGGCCTTCTTCTCCCGGGGCCCCAAACCCACAAAAAGTCAAACACGATGTGTGGACGCGCCAGGGTAACCTGGAAGCACGTGCCTGTGCTGGGCATCAAGAGGGACTTGTCCTCACCCATCATACCTTGAAGAGAGTCCGGACAGGGCTTTCTTGAGGATCTCAGGGGTCCTGTCTGAGGCCGGTGGGATCTCGGGAACATCAGAATCTCCCCTGGCGTCGAGATCTCCATACCTGTCATCAATATCTGTCTCCTAAAATTAAAAAGAAGAACTGTTTACAAAGTATTCGTATATATGTTTATTTTGAGATGGGGCCTCGGAGAGGGCCCCAGGGCTGGCCTGGAGTTCACTGTGTCGCCCCTGTGGTCCTCAAACTCTGACTTTCCTGCCTTGGCTTACCAATGTTGGGGTTTAGGTGTGTGTTAGCGCTCCTGGGGCAAAGTGTGCTTCTAAACAGCACGTGCCTGTCGCTGCATTCTCTCGTTGTTTGGTGTGCCGGAGCTTAGTTACCTAATCTAAGACAAAGCACTACTATCAGCCTACACTGAGTGCCCAAGCACTGCCATGGTTTCTTGCTAAGGAAGCTTTATTATCTTTGGTAAAATTCCAAAATAAAGGATTACCTTAAACAAAAGACATAAGAACAGCTCAGATGACTTCTTCTTAAGTCAGATGCTTACTGACAGGACCAAATATTTACTGTTTGCTTCTCAACTGGGAGAACAGGGCTGCTTCTGTAGATTCTAATCAGCACTTCAGTCTGCTTGTATTTAACTAAGATCCCAGCGTCGACAGGAAGAAGGCTCTCTTGCTTGGGTGTAGCAATATGGATTTTAACATCCATCATTTTTATTAGCTCCCAGTAAAGCAGGTCAGATGGACGCTGTATTTTTCCAGCAGATGAACGTGATCAAAAGTGTTATTTTAGTTATCAGACGTAAGTCATTTGATATGGAAGAGGGCACATACACAAGCGCTGTGTTTGTGCGGTAGGCCCTGGGGGCTCTGGGGCTCTGTGACAAAGGCCACCCTAGAACTTTCAGGATAGGGCAGCCAAGGCATTTGTAAGAACAGACACGGCATCTGCTGTTCCATTTTGACATATCCTTCCCTCCTCTACACCCCTTCCTCCTAGCCCTGCATGCTCCTGCAACCAACAACCTTCTTGATTTCCAGATGTGAGAAGGAGAGGGAGCTGAGGTCAGGGGAAAGGCACATTCCCAACGGACAAGGACGGGCACGGGGCAGAGGGCTTGGAAACAACCCAAACTCAGCCTTGGCCAGCTCCAAAGCTTCAGCAAATTTTATCGCCATTTTAACTGCAACTACATCCAAAGAGGAAGCAGCGAGCAGGACGCCGAGGATACAGCAGAGTCCAACAAGCAGCAGGCTATGAGGGTTAAATCAAGTCTTCCAGTCCCTCGGGCGGCTTTCCATAGGAAACGTTAGCATTTATTAATTATTATTAGCAGAATGTTCAGACTTCATACAGTGAGAATCAAACTTCAGTCTACCACACACAGCTTTGTTATAAAATTACATGTGTCACTATCCAAAAATGACAAGTGAGACAGATGTGATCCCCAATCAGCTTCAACAGAGAAGTGCGGACTGGTCACAAGCAGACTGACATCGACTCAAGAGCCTCCGGCCACAAGTGGCCAGGGGGCCAGGTCACCCGACTCGGCGGCCGGCGGCGGGCTGTGGGGCAAAGCACTGGTTTTTCCTGACACTTTTCTGACCCCAGTGACCCGGAGAGGTTGGGGGAGAAATGCGGACGGGGACAAAGGAAGTGACTCCCCAAGGAACCACAAAGGCGCAAGAAGAGCACAAGAGCAGGGGTCAGGAGCTTCCAGGAGCCCTCCTACCTCGACCCAAATGATCAGTGTAACACAGGCCAACCCCTGAGCCCAAGGGGATGAAGGCTTCAGTTTCTACCTGCAAATAAAACCACTGGGTTGGAATTCAGGTCATTTTCTTCAAATCAGTGACATTTTTGCAAACCGCATCCAAGTACAGTTGACAGTGACAGAATTGTGCTCAGACTTCACCTCCTGTGCTGGCTGGTTTTAACTGTCACTTGAGCCAACCTGGAGTAACCCGGAAGACAATGCAAACGAGGCATTATCTAGATCAGACTGGCCTGTGGTATGTCAGTGGGGGCCTATCTCGACTGCTGGTTGGCATGGAGACCCCAGACCACTGCAGGCAATATCCATTCCCTGGGTAGGTCCTTGTGGTGGTCTGAATGAGAATGCCCCCCATAGGCTCATACGTATACATCCTTGGTCCCCCGTTGGTGGAACTGTTTGGGAAGGGTTAGAAGGTGTGGCCTTGTTGGAGGAGGTGTGTCACTGGAGGTGGGCTTTGAGGTTGCACAAGCCCATGCCAGGCTCAGCCTCTCTCCTCTGCCTGCTGACTGATGATCAGGATGTAAAGTTTTCAGCTACTGCTCCAGCGCCATGTCAGCCTGCCACCATGCTCCCCACCATTATGTTCATGAACTAACCCTCTGAAACCGGAAGCCAACCCCAATTAAGTGTTTCCTTTAAAAAGTTGCTTTGGTCATGGTTTTTCATCACGGCAATAGAACAGTAACTAAGACAGCCCTGAACGGTCTACGAGTAAAGAAAGCGAGCCAGCCAGCAGGCAGGCAGCAGGGGTGCACTTATTTCTCTCTGCTCTTGACTGTGGATGTGGTGTAGCTAGCAGTCCAGGACTCCGACCTCTGTGACTTCCCTGCAGTGACGGACTGGAGGATTCCAAACTAAAATAAACTTTCTCTTAGCAACATCGCTTGTTGTCAGAAAATTTCTTTACAGCAACAGAAATGAAACTGAAGTACTGCTCTGTCCCACCTCCATGCTGCCATGCTCTGGAACACTGTCTTGCCCTCCCTCCATGCCGCCATGCTCTAGAACACTGTCCTGCCCTCCCCCATGCCGCCATGCTCTAGAACACTGTCCTGCCCGCCCCCATGCCACCATGCTCTGGAACATTTCCCTGCCCCCCTCAATGCTGCCATGCTCTAGAACACTGCCCTCCCTCCATGCTGCCATGCTCTAGAACACTGCTCTGTCCCCCTCCATGCTGCCATGCTCTGGAACACTGTCCTTCCTCCATGCTGCCATGCTCTGGAACACTGTCCTCCCTCCATGCTGCCATGCTCTGGAACACTGCCCTGCC